CCTCTGGGGCGCGTGTCTCACCCCTTGGCCAAGTCCCCGCAGCTGGCGGGGGGGAGGGAGCGGGCCCTGCGCCCTCGGCCCGTCCGCCGTCTGTCCAGGCAGCACTGACCCTGTGGTCCTCTGAGACCTCCAGGTCATTTGTCCACCCGCCCCCTCTTTGTGGCCTGGGGGCAGCGGCTGGGAGCCCCAGTGCAATGCCCCCCCGGCCCGTCCACCGTCCCCCCGGCCACACGGCTGCGAGGGGCCGCAGCTGGGCCTGGGAGTGGGTCTGAGCCAGGCCCTCCAGGCCATGTGCTGGGCGCAGACTGGCTGTGGGTCGGGACCCTAAGGGGGGTCGGGGGAGCTGGAGGCGAGGCCCTTAGGTTCCCCCTCATGCTGGACCAGGGCGTTGGGCCGGGCCTGGGCCTGGGCTTGGGGCATGTGAGGGCCAGGGTCAGCCCTGGCCCTGCGAGGGGCCCGCCCCCCAGCCTCTCGGTGCCCCGGTGGCTGCCTCCTCCCTCCTCAGGGGCGCTTCCCCCTCTTTGCACCTGAGGAGACTGGTGCCAGAGACAAGGAGGCAGCGGCTGGAGGGCACAGGGAGGGGCCCCCCATTTCTCCACCGTCGAGGGGTCTCTGCTGCTTCCCAGGGCTTGCTGTCGATGCCTCTGTGTGTGTGTGTGTGTGAGGGGCTGCGAGTGTGCGAGGGAATGCGTGTGAGTGTGTGTGGGCGTGTGCACAAACACGGCAGTGTTGGGTGAGTGTGTGTGTGTGTGTGAGGGGCTGCGAGTGTGCGAGAGAATGCGTGTGAGTGTGTGTGAGTGTGCACAAACACGGCAGTGTTGGGTGAGTGTGGGCGTGGGCGTGGGCGTGGGTGTGTGCGGGCGTGAGAAGCTGGACTTACTGTACCTGTGAGTGTGCCTGCTGTGTGCTGTGCATTGTGTGTGCGCGCAGTGGGCCTGCGTGTTAATGAGACTGAGTGTGCATGAGTGTGTATGGGTGTGGGGTGAGTGTGCACCAGTGCGTGTGCTTGTGTGCCACCCTGTGACCCTGGAGCCCACAGCCCCTGGTCTGAGCAACTGCGCGTGTCCCCCAGGGCGGGCAGGTGCCGGTGGCCCTGGGCTGGAGGAGCCGTGGGTCTCAGCAGGGAGCAGGGCCGCTGGGCCGGCGGGAGGATCAGCCTTACCTTGTCTGAGTAGATGGACATGCGGGTGGTCAGCCCCAGGACAGGGATGCGGTAGAAGCCGGCCGTGTAGGAGACGGGGGTGGGGGTGAAG